TTTAGTTCGAATTAAATCAGTATTTTCCAAGGTAATTGTGTTATTGTGGAAGTTATATTGTCATGTTGCTATGTTAAAAGATGTGGTTACAGTCTGTGTAAGAGTACTAATATGTTCATCAATTTCCTTGATGGATTGAATGTGATAGAGAAATGTAAGTGTTATAAAAGTGTTATAATAAGGTGTTCCTCATACTTGGTCCAATTTGTAACATCTTAATTAATGAAGTGATTCTGTAGGCGAATTTTAATGATCACAGAATTGTGATCTGAAAACTTTGCAAGTACAACTGATTGTGTTAAATTAAAATTAACACACAATATCTAAAATGATAGGCAAAACATTACTATTATATGAATAGTATGTGGGTTCTGGGGCATGAATGATTAAGTTATTATTATGTATAAAATATTGAAGCTTAAAACCATGTTAAGATGTTGAATTGCATCCTCAAGCTTGATTTTTACAGGTATTAACTCCTGTTAGGAAACATGGTTTAGTTGCTATCGTAAGACTTTTTTGTGGTATATTGATAAAAATAGCTGTTTCTGTGTCAGTAGAAATATGACTTGCAGTAATTTGATATTTTATATGTTTAGGGATAATTATTGCTACCAGACCTGAAGCTTTATTTGACAGTCTGTTACTTCTTCGATGAATTATGAAACTTTTTCAATTTGAATAAGATATGCCGTTTCCGTGTTACAACCTATTTATATTTTTAGGTTATACAAAATGAAAATATGTTTTTATTGTTTGATCCCCTTAGCATTCCAGTTTACAATATACAATGTTAAATAATGATTTGCCATTAACAATATTTGGTGTAATATATTGTTTTATATTTTCAAATTTACTAAGAGCTGACATAATTTGTGATACTAATTTTGAAATCAAATTTATTATTTCTGAGAGTGATTATGATATATTTGTATTTGCTCAAGTAAAGGAAGGTTTTGGAAGCAAAGGAAATTCCTGATTGTTATTGAAGTTTGGTTTAGACAAATTGGAATTGGAGGACGATTTTATCTTGTTTCTTAAGAATTTCAATTAAAACATTGTGATGCAAATATGACAGACATGATTTATTTGCATTTTTAAAATTGTACATCCATGATTATGATTTCTTGAATTCTTTGGTTTATTATTATCAGTATAATGACGATTGAACACATCTTGGCGTAAGTATCAATTTGTCTGAGTTTGCTCAAAATCCTGACTTTGTTCACATTGTCTTGGTTCTTTCCACCTAATGCACAGTTGGATGTTAACTAGTAGTAGTAGCACATAGATCATGTGCAATCCTTGGTGATCCTAAGAGATATTCAAAGCAGTTGGTTGCCAGCCTCTCCTTCAAAATGTCTCTTTAGATTTGCTCTCAACTCCTTTACAATTTTTCTCCATCCTATTCTGTCTTGCGCCATGATCATTGCTTCTGTCCATGTCAGGTTGGTTACTTTTTTGATTTCCTCATGCCTTGTAACTACATTATACAAAAAATCTGATTTTAGAAAGTACCTTCTTCACTTTAGGTGAATCTAACAGATCCTATTCACTGATACATGGGGGATTTTTTTGTTTATCATTTAGTCTATTTACTGTAAGCACTGGATAATTGAACCTTAGACTTTCTTTGAGAATGTCTAATTTAGTGAAGTCAATATGCTGTGCTTCATTGCAACTACTGTCTATTGAGAAAGATATTTAAATTGTATTGGTGTATATTTTATTGTATATTTTTATAATTGGAAAGCTCTTGAAAGTTTCTATAGTCTTCAATATTTGAAAAATATTATTTCAATTTCAATTTTTCTAGACTTCATCATGAAATCACTATCTGATATTTTCTTGTAAGTCTTCAAGAATTAGGAGGTAGTTTATTTCCACTTATGAATAAAGAAGGTACTTTAAAAACTTGTTCTACTTCCGGTTCTTCAGGCTCCAGAAGAACATTGTATCTTGTTGAAGTTGAAACATTGTAAACCACATTACTGGTAGTACACATCTGATGTTTTAATAAGCCTGGCAGCTCTTGCATGATTGGCATTTTGAACATAGTTCCTATAATATTGTTATTGGACTTCCTAGATTGGCATTGTGTTAGAATTGTTGGTTGCGTTAAGGGTAGCTGTTGACAATTCAATGCTGACGATTCTTAATGTGTTCTTTCCATTTGTGGATTGTCTTCTGAATTATTTAAAATGTTCAATGTGTTACTATGACTTGCCCCGTTGTGGGGCTAGAATCATTGAATATTTACAATATTTTTAAAATTTGTCTGTATTCACTATTTGCAGATAAACACTATTTTATGAATCTTTAAAAACACTTGGTTAGCTTCATTCACATTTAGATGTAAATTACGAAAATAATTTAAATCAAGATAAATCTGTCAATTCAACCATTTATTGGTGAGGCTACTGCTGGTGTGGCGCTAATGTGTTTAGGGCTAGAATCTTAGTTACCATAGCAACAAATTTGTTTAACAATGTTCAGATATATAGACGTCAATGTGGTGTCTGCAAAAGAAGCTGTTGAGTGAAGGGATGGATCATCACTGCAGCCAACTGCAAATTGTACAACTGATACTGATAGATGCAGCGTTGATAAATGGATTCACATATTTAGCAATAAGGTTAGTTGTTTGTTTTTTTTTTCAAGTGGATCGTAGGTGTTAGGAAAAAGGCAATAGTGTGCTGTCATTGTAGCAGATCGCTCGAAAGAGATTCGCAAGAGATGACTCAAATAGTAGTACACAAGTTGCATTACTATTATATTAGAACTTAATGTAACTGTTACAAATATTACAAGAAAGTATGTGCCATTTGTAGTACAACTAGTTCACTTCCTTGTAAGCTAGTACATGCAGAGGGTATACAATTGTAGTATAGAGAAAGTTATGTAATGTTAACAAAATTATAATAATGAAAAAAAAAGTCAATATTTTGCTAGCATTATTTATTTTGAAAGTCTGTGATTCTGTTTTGTTTCCACAACATTTCTGAAAATATATATTCCCTTGTTGTTTTGGCCAAGCCTAAGGCTCTGCAAGGATCTTTGGTGGTACTTTACATGAGCTCTAAGGCTCTACCTTTTCAAAAGCTCTACCTTTTCATGAGCTCTACCTTTTCAAAAATTTTAAAAATTGCTCAATTACAAATATTATCTTTTTACTAGAATAGGGCAAAATATGCTTATAGGTGTGGTGTATTGTGTTTCATTAAAATCCCTGAATTTTCAAAAATTACAAAAGTTCATAATTTTTCATCCCTTTCCTGCAACTACATTTTTAAAACTAGATATTTTTTCTTCATAAAATTTATTCTTTAAAGTTGGATGTACAAATTTTTCAAAATATGAGATGTTCATGTATTTTTGAGTCAAATTGTGGCAATTTTCCAAAAATATCAAAATAAGATTTCAAATCAAGTTCAAAATTGGCTAGAAATTTAGTCTTTAATTTTTTGTTTGAATAGCCAAAGCATGCTTTGAAACATGGCCAGTTTTCATATATATATATTCAAACTATATTTGAAAAATGCAAATTCTTCAGGCATCAGTTATATCAATCATATAACATTTATTGAGATATTTCACATCTTGGTTCTTGATGAAATCTTGCACAAAAGGCAAACGGGAAAACAAATAAACCAGGGAATGCTCCGAATTAAGAAAAAGCTATAAACTCATAACTAATATAAGTGAATCCTGTTATTTCCAATAATAATGATTGTGAAATTATTATGAAAGACTAATATATATGAAGAAAATAATGCAACCAATGGCATCATTGTGGGATGCTGCACTCCTTGTGTTAACTAATATGCAAACCTGAATTTGGAAGCCAAATTTTGGTAAAAAAAAGTTTGTAAGTGTAAGTTGGAATTGGTCAGGAAAAAACTTATGTAACTTCAGTAAAATACTAAGAATCGCAAACGTGTATCTCCGTATTCCTATAATTTTCATTCCCATAATATTCATTTGATTAACCTTTCTGGCATTCCTTATTATTAAGAAAAGCATACTATATGAATACAAAATTAAATAATGTTCATTTTAGTATGCACTTTTTCTGGATCACCTGAATTAATTATGCAAGTTCCAACATAATTGACTACTGACATTATTTCCTATTTTTGAGAAAATGTTAATTTCTTATAACTGTCAACATTTGCAATAAGGAGCCTGTCATATCTGATTCACAAAATATAAGTGACACAAGAAAAGGAAATGTAATAAATTTTGGCCCTAAATTATTAAAGCCATTGAAGAAGACAATAAAAAGACACAATATTTCCAGTACTTTTGTTGATCTATCAAATAATTATTTTAGTGTTAATTTTGGGGTAATATTTTGATAGGATTTTAATATTTTAATTTTTCATCAATATCTCGTTCTGTTGTTTGAGAATAATCTTTGTCTACATTTTTGATAGCAAATATTTAACACCACTTCAAAAGTTTATACTGAATTTATGCTCTAACTGTAGTTGTTTGAAAACGATGTGTTCCTTAAGCTTAGAAGACTTGGGTAGCTTAATGATGCAAGTTTTAATGATATATGAGCTTCCTTATTAGTAAGAATATATTTGACTACAAGAAAGAATAGTTTGCTTCATTGGATGAAGTATATTTTCCTGAAAATAATTAAAGCATTCAAGTTTTTAAGGTAGAATTGATTGCATAAAATTAACACATTATTAACAATTTTTACAATTTTAACAATTTTATTATATTACCAGGAACCCAGGAATGTAGAGAAACAGATGTCCTTTGCACAATCTTGACACCAGAATGTAACAGAAATGCTGTTTTTCATATTAAGTTGCAAATCATCTAGAAATGTGCACCACTAACTGTTCTTTAATCAAATTAGGATTTCCAGCTCATTTTTGCATACTAATTTCAAAGCAATCTGTATAGCTTGTACACAGAGAATGCCTGAGGAAAGTAGTTACAACTCCTAAGTGTATTGCTTTGACATAACGATTCCTTTGCAGAAAGAAAAATATGGATTAAATGTTTGTGGTGAGGGCGGCGAGTTCGAGACCTTTACACTTGATTGTCCCTTGTTTAACAAGACGATCATCATGTAAGTAAGAAACTCCACAGCTCCTGCAAAATCCTGAGATCAGTTCTGAGCAACCTATTTTCAAAAATAACACTTACCCTAAATGTTAAATATGTTGAATAATTAAAGAAGTTTTGATACTGCTGATTTCAAAAATAACATTAGTGAATATTTACCATGTTATAGATACACCATATCCAAAATGTATGAGAGTTTATGCAACAATCCAGTTTTTCCTTTTAAAAATGTGTTGTTTTTTTCCTTCCTAACCCCCTTCCCATTTTTTCCATTTATTCTTCTTCTTTCTTTATTTATTTTTTTGTTCCTCTGTGAATAACTGACCAACCGGATTTAGGCAAGCATGTTGACTTTGTTGCATCCATGTTTACCCAGAATGGTTCATTATTCCAGTTTTATTATTAAATATTGTGCCTATTGGTCTTTTGAAGCAGTGGGAATGTAATGCAGTCATTGATGTCTCATTACAGTAGTGATTCATGACCAAGTTGTTCTGAGGGTGAATGTTTTTCAATTTTCTATGTTTTTTAACCCATTTGAATAAAAATTATCCATTGCCAGATTTGTGTTTGCTTTAAAGATAAATGTATGTATACATTTTATTTAAAGCCACTCAGCATGAGATTACATGCATTAAGAAACTCACTTTGTGACATATATGCTTTCACATCCGCTAATCTTGCAATGCATAGTACAATTTATAAGTATATCTTTTCGTGTATCAAGCTATTCCTTATCAGAATCATGTTGGGTGATAATGGCATCTGTTAGAACAATGTCGTAAGTAGGTTATAGTCAACTATTTTATTATAATGTGTTATTTTATTTTAAAGTAAACAGATATTGACAATTTACACAAGATTAGTTTCAAACAAATAATAATAATATATGCTGAAATATTAATAATTTTTATCTATTTTTTATTAATCAAAATCAAAGAAATCCATTGCATTGTATTTTTTCAAGCAAGTCTGTCATCTAAACTAATTGGAAATCATTGATAGTAGGAAGAAAATTACACATCTCCACTGTCCTTGGCTCTGGTTTGGGGATACTTAGGTATGGAGGGATAAGATTTCTTTTTTGCATAAACAGTTTGAAAATGAGGAAAGGGCTGTTTATCTTAGCATCTCCAATGTATATTTTAACAAAGTCTTGTTCTTGCTTCGTAATTCTCTGAATATGTGAATTTTTATTTTTGTTTTGATTGTAGCCATTGTAATTTTCTCATTAAGTTACAAGAGAAGTAAGGTTTTTGTCAGAAATATGATACATATGTTTATATTTCAAATTCCCAAACTAATTTTGCATTCTAATATAAGTGTGAATTAATCATCAGATGCATATTTATCAACAATTTGTGGGCCTAAAAATTTACAATGCAAACATTTTTCAGTCTTGTCACATAAGATAATTTTTTGCTTTCTTTGATCCTGTATTTTTATTTTTTATTCTGGGAATTCCAGAGCCATTCTTTAATATTGTTGAAATATAATTTTGTAATATAAGATATGTTTAAGGATCTGAATGAATAATTGTTTTACAGGAAATGCCAAAAATAGTACTGCAATTTTGTTCAATAATGAATTTAAATACGAAAATTCTGTGAGTTTGATCTGTAGTTTGTTTCATGGGAAGAAACATTTCTGGGCAAAATAAGGGGTAATTTCATTTCTTATAAAATTGTAATGCTTATTTTTGTTTCTGAATTCTACTAAGTCGGTTAAAAATAAATAAATGATTTTTTTTCCCCTTCTAGAAATCCATTTCAAAACTAAATAATATCAAGTACAGAATTCAGTATTTTAAGGATTATTAAACAATGAAGATGATATAGCTGCATAGACAAAAACAAAACTTTTTTTTTCTTCACACAATTTCAATATTATTTAAGATTCATTACAAATAACTTATTGATATACTTGTGTTTTTCCATTTTTAATAATATCCTCTAAATTTTTTCGTGAAATAATTTTCCATACATTACTCTTGAATTCATTTCCAGTTATAATTATTCTTATTTTTATGCAAACGTTCATTGAACTAGTAAGTCTTATTCTTAGAACTAGAAATGTGAGTAGTGATAAGTACTGAAAATGATGCAATGTATGGTTACCTGGATTCAGTTATTTCTTATTTTTTTAAATCTTACTATAATTTCTTTACATTATTTTTTTATTAGTCATGTTTCTTTCTTCAGTTTTTATATTTAAATAAATGTTGGTATATAATTAGTTAGTTTGTATTTGGCCAATTGTTTTGTTCACATAGATATGAAAATTCTTTGAAGTATTGCTAATTTGAATTTTTTTTCCACCAAAATGAAGAGAGGTTTATCAGCTGTTCATTTCAACTCAATTTTACAATCTTTATGAAATGAAATGAAAGGATTATAAAATGTTGAAATATGCAATCATCAAAACTAATTTTAAATATTTTTTTGTGTATTTCATTGGTACTAATTTTCAAAAGAGGTACATTGTATTCTGTGTTGCTCAGTACTGTTCAGAATATTCCTCCCCACCTAGATGAGCTTTTTCTGAAAGCTGCCTTTAATTTCTTGCCAACTAATTTCATGACGATTGTATTGTTTCTTTTCCATAGAGATGAATGGGAAACGGTGATCCATTCAAATGATGCAATTGCTCCTGTGGGCTATCTAAACTTCAAGAACTTCCATTTGGTGCAGAAAGATGTAAGTTGTTGATCAGTAATTTTCACTTCTTTCTGAGCATGCATTTAATTTTTTTTGTCATAATTAGTTATGATCGGCAGCTTTTACTATGTGTGGTACTTTATTCAGTTCACATCAATTTCATTTGTGGAAGTAAAAAAATGCAAACATAATATCAGATGATATCTACAATTTAGAGTTTTTAGAGAACATTTTACATTATATAAATCAATAATATTTTGAAATAGCAGATTTTGCTCTTGAAAAAAAAATATATGTATTCTTTTGAAATTGTTAATGTGATATTAATTTCTTTGAATTTCCTGGATGATTTGAAGATGGTATCTATTATTTAATGTAGTAGAGGTAGCATTTGCATTTCAATTTGTTTTATTTGTTGCTACTGATTTTCAGGTATATCATGATAGATATTGATAAATTATATTTCAAGCAATACAAAATGACAATTTGTCATCAAAGAATTCCATATAATTTTGTCCTGTGCTCGGATTTATTCATATGTATGATAGTTTATTCATTCATATGTAAAGTTGAAAAATCGTGAAAATAAATGTCATTTGGGCGACCGAAGAATGTATGTGGGAAGATAATAAGGTACAACCGAAATCCTAGTTCAGGCTAAAGAGATTAGGAACTAAATACTGTGAGAATGTCTATGCCATTCTTTAGTACCACTAGTTGTATTTACTTATTATCACACACTGTTAAATATGAGGAAAACCTTAAATGAAAATATTTTTGAAAATATCATAACTTTAGGACACTAAGCGAAATCTTTTTTTTAATGTACATGACTTTTTTAAAGACCTGATTTTTAACATAGATGTTATTTAAAGCAAAAATCGCTATCTCTAATTTTGTTGTTTTGAAATATTCACGTTCTTTTGGCGTTTTCGAAAAAAAAGCAGCTAGAGCCTAAAATGAGACTAGCACCATATTTTTTACTGTCCCTCATTACATATGTGGAGAAAATTGAAACAAAAAAATTGGAACGAATTTTTAGGAAAACAATTCTTTAATTTCAAGTTCTAATGACGTAGCAACTACTTTTTTTTTTTTTCCTTCAAAAATTGTACGTAATCTTTAAGAGTTAATTTTGTTCAACTAACTTTGACTGAGGCGAAAATATTTATTTACAATTTGTTGTTTTAAAAACTTTTTTGTAGCAGTTTTTGAAAAACCGATATGGTGCTAGCCGCATTTTCTGATCCCGAAACATATTTTTTATCGTCCTTTATTACAAAAGTCAAGAAGTTTTAAACAAAAAATTTGGAGCGGTATTTGAGAAAAAATGCAATAATTTCAAGTGCAAATTTCACAAAAACTACTCATTTTCTCAAAAACTTGTACATGACCTCTTATAAAGAGCCAATTGTATATAAGATACTTTGAAGCAAAATTTTCTATCCTCAATTTTGTAGTATTAAAACTTTGTTTTACAAATTTCGAAAAATCGGGGATGTCAACGAAAATAAGATCTGAACCATTCTCTGAAACATCATTCGCACTAATCAACAACAGAATTTAATCAAAAAATTTGCAGCAGTTTTTGAGAAAATTTGAAAATGTTTTGAGGCTTCAAATCTCAAAAATCAAAATATCTGTTTGAAACTCCCAAAGTCACGAGTTCGTTCAGATCTATTGTGGAATATCAATTTTGAACGCACGGTTTAGGCGGTAGCGTTGATCACTGACGGACAGACGTTTTGCCGTCAAACGGAATGAAGAATCAACAAAAAATGGATTCTAACGACACCATGAACTAGGGTATTATTTTTTCTACATTTAGCGACAGAATTTATCCACTTTTTTGTCACCAGGGACCTGTAGTAAGAGTTTTTTCTGCCCAAAATCCGCAGTTTTTTCGCGCAGCATTTCATAACTTTCTACTCTTAAGAAGTCCCTTCTTACGCGCGAGAAAGTAAAAAGATGATGTTATCCTACGCGCACATAATGCGGAAAGGTTAAGGTGATGCTGAGCTCAAGAATCTGGGTTCAAATGTCACTTATATCGGAAGACAGCTTGCGACGATCCCCTCCTACAACTTCGCAGATCCGCAAGTAGTCAACCACTGGAGTGCCAATCTTCAGTAAAGGCGGCTTACCAGAACCCGGCAATAACGTTTTTTTTTTTCTGGCGAAATTTCGTCGTTTTCTGCCGCACGGTTGCTTACTTTTCTCTTCCTGCGAAAAATTCGTAAGGCGAGAAAGTAAAAAAATGTTAAACAAATTATGAAATATGAAAACCACTTCTAATAAAACAATAATTTCAAACATTTGTTTGGTCTTTCATTTCAACAATGACCTTTTTTACCAAAAAAGCCACCTAATGTCATTGTTAAATCAGTAAACTAAATGCACATCCATAATAATAATAATAATAATAATAATAATAATAATATCTTTATTATCGTGCGCGAATCTCCTGTCCCGCGCCCTTGTCACGTAAACGTTTATTTTAACACGCCTTGTGCGTTTTTTCGTGCGAGTTTTCCGTGTGCTAAACAGCTATTTTTTTCAGTGTGCGAAGAACAGTAACGATTAGCAGTTGTCTTTCGTCTTGACGACGTCTTAGTCTATTGTTAGAGCCCGGAAGTTCATTCATTTATTTGACCTAAAATAGGCATTTATTCTAGCTAAAGTAGGGGTGCAAAGTGGCATGTAAGCAATGAAAACTCGCATGTAAAAGTAATTGTACGAAATTAATAATTAAAATTATTCAAACTCTGAAATTTACATTAGCGCGTGTAATATACGTTGCATGTATTACTTCACACGAAAAAAAGAACAGTTGCAGTATACCTGATCCATGATACTGTAACAAGGGAATACATGATAATATAGGCCCAAAGGTTCACGGTTACTCTTTCGTGACGGAGATAGTTGGAACGAAACGTTGCATCGTGAAGGGTGCCTTGTTGCACACCACTGAAGGCAGATTGTTATAAGTGCACTGCTACGAGTTGCCGAGCCCAAGAAAATATTTGGAGGAGGAGTGGACTACCTTACTCGCCGTAAGCGAGCACCACATGTTGGAGGATCCCGCCTACCGTCATGACGTATCAGGACGATACCGATAGGAGGAGTGGGTCTGCGGAGTCGGCGCGTAGAGCAATACAGGTTGCCGGATCCAGCCGTCCATGTTGCCTTATTTATGCATCTTTTGTGTAACAAGTTACTGGTTGTTGAGAGATTTAGGAATGAATGTCGATTGGAATGGGTTATGCGTAGTACTTGCTATTAATAGTATATTCATTATTTATTTTTAATCAAACAACAATCTGTACATTTACATACATGATCAGACAACGAAAAAAACTGGAAATTTCATACAAATGACGCATTTTGTGATAATTTAATTTCACAATAAATTGCATTCACAACAAATGCATCAAAAGATTTTAAATTTTGCAGTCTGATTGTTGTTGGGGTAGGTATACAGACATCAATAATACCTGCATTGTTGTGGAATAAAACAAGTCATATGTGTATGTATGTGTGTGTGTGTATATATATATATATATATATATATATATATATATATATATATATATACACACACACACACACACATACTAACACAGCATGTACCTAGTAATAAAATATTTGAATTTAACATTAAAATATTTATTTATTGAACTAAAATGTGTAAACTATAACATAATTCACAATAAAATGGAATATATTGACATAAACATGATTGCAATGTTAACATATCGTAGATGTGTACACATAATCATTAATCCGATTGGGTGGATTAAATACTTAAGGAAACTAAGCACATGCTTAGGGACACCAGTAATAACTTCAAAACTACTTTAAAATTGGTTCATAAATATATACAATTAATACATTTTATTACTGATCTCAATAAATACAAGTTTAATTCTTTTTTATACATTAAAAACACCAAGATTTGCTTAAATTACGGCTAAAAATGTAGATGGAAATTATTTTCAAATCCATCTTTTTGTTTATTTCTTTGATTGATTTTCATTTTATTGGATGAGTCAAATAAGTTTTCTTACCAAATTAACAACCTGTTCTAAAGTGATTTTAAATTTGGGCATTCTCCGGGTAACAGTTTTTTTATTAAATACAGACTATTCTGCATTGCTTATCTTGACATGGAATAGGCATTTGGAATTCACAATATCCATGATTACCTGCATCAATAAACCAATTTCCATCACCCATGCCAAAAATACCTGAAAAATGAAATATTTGTTTCAAATATTTACAGAACATGTCAGTCTTTAGTTTCAATTTAAAATAGAGATATGAGAATACTGCAATAATCAATTCTACAATTTTTAACTGCCACCAATGGCATTTCAAACCTAATTTTAAATATATTTCAATAAATTAGAAAAAATTGTAAAACATACCTATTTGCAATGCATAATTGAATATTAAAAACTAATCAAATAATCTTAACAACATTGGAATTTGAATTAGTATTATTTTAACCAGTGATATAAAACGAAATCATTGTTTATCTTGTTCGACATAAGCTTTTAAGGGAAATTTAAAATTAATTTACATTTACATTATCTTACACTGGTTTAGTAAACAATTGCAACATTGCACTGAACCTAATATACAAATATTATTACAATGCATGATAGAAATATATACTTACCTTGACATTTATGACAATTCAATCGACAAACAATGTCAATGCATTCATTCATTCTTGCTGTAATCCTAGTAGGTATCATTTAATTCAAGTTCTTTTGAAATTGCTAGCAGTTTCTTGTTCACAAAAGTGAATACGAAATGAATCATCACTTAATTCGAATATCCCTTTCACTCCCAATGAATTAAGTCAAGACTTTCACTTGCAATACATAACTCAGACTATTAAAGAAATTACCACCAGATTCCAATTCACAGCAAATCGCTGTGAAAAGACTGATTACAGAAACTGAACGAGCACTGCTACCTGTCGCTAGCCGAGCAGGCTTGCAACAGCTGCCATGCAATACCAGACTCTTGAGCCATTCTCTCACTTCGCGGCCGGGGGCCGGGCGCCCCCCCACCCACCCCTAGCCCTTTTCACTTCCTGTTTTCATTAAGAGTTTATCACAGAAAGACAAAACACGATTGTGCCTTCGAGTTGACCAGGCTTGCAGGTGTCAGGAGAAAAAACAACAACAAAATAATAAGGGAAAGGGCAAAATGGCGCGGGGAAAAGCCATCAGAAGCTAAAATAGGCTAATAGGACTAAATGATAATCTACTAATGATGAGGAAAAAGGCAAAATGGAGAAAATAGCATCAGAAGCCAAAAAAGGCAAAATAATTCACTAAAACAACCCCAGAAGTACATTTTAAGTTATAAGTATTGTTAAAAGTCATAAACTTGCAACAATAACAAAAAGGCAAAAAATTCATGGAAGTACCACGAGCGTTGTTAAAAACGTCGGGCAAAAGACCTTCGGGCATTTTGTCGCCGCTCGATCATTAAAACCCGTATAACGCCCTTGGTGCATAAATAACTATTACACTTCACATGCTAATGGCCACAGTTGATGTCTTACGCTACACTACATGAAAATTCTAATATGAGAGACTTCGCTCTGTGTCGTGGTTTGGACATAGTTGTCAACTACCCTATTGTTGAAACGTTCTCCTCCAAGTTTCGTCATGCATTCGCTATGACACTGTGTTGTATAAATTTGTTTTACTTGTCTGAGGTAACGTTCAAGTAATATCTGATGTTAACATTCTGACTGCAGAGGCAAAGTATGCAGCCAACCCGCGCGTAATACTTGGCGGTGCGGCGGGTTGCCTATCGCATGTGTTCAAAGGCGCCTAAGTAGACGGAGCGAGTCGCCATATCCTTTGCACCTTCAATATGGCTGCGAGCATATTTTCATTACTAGAGCGATCTACAAATGACTTTCCCGTGCTTTTGATCTCGGTAGTTTGCCCGGCTCCTCTCTAACGGGGGGGGGGATAGGCCGTACCGTCCGTGAAACACGTTTGGATGAATTTGAATTTCTGAATTGACAAGACTTTAAATCTAATCAATTCACAATGGGGATGTTGACCCCAGCAGGGCGCGTGCGCCAGGCGCACGATAGATGCAAGTGACTTTCTCTTTTGACTAAGAACTTTTCGCGGGCCCTAATAAATGACACCATGTGCCGCCAATTGGACAACCCTGGCTTTATAAGAAACCATCTGCATAACTGTATGTATTACTGCTGAGTAAGGAATTACCCCCTCCCCTCCAAAGGAGCATAAAACCGATTTAAGAAGAAAACAGTTCGCTGATTATGGCGTATTTATATTCTCAGGAATACATTCCACGCACAACACTTTCCACGTTGCAATACATTTGACCATCGAGCACAACTTGCAAACGGCGTGGAGGGCCTTAACACCACGTTTTTGTGTCCGTATGGGGCATGAGTAAAGTTCTTTTCATGTCGTAGTTTACACAATGAGACGTTTCAAGATGGTTCTATTCGGTTTTTAGAATGTTCCCTTATCAACAGACTACAAGAAACGCAGGAAGTTAGATTCCAGTGCGAACCCATTTTCACTTTTAAAACAATTTACTTTCTCTCTCTCTCTTTCTCTCTCTCTCTCTTCGTCTTTCTCTTCTTTCTTTCCTCTCTCTTCTCGGTCTCTCTTCGATCTCTTCTCTCGATCTCTCTGTCTTCTCTTTTGTGGTCTCTCTCTCTTTCTCTCTCGTCTTTCTCTCATCTTGTCTTCTCTCTTCTCTCTTCTCTCTCTCTCTGCTCTTTCTCTCTCTCATCTTTCTCTCTCTCTCTCTTTTTTTTTCGTTCTCTAAATTATGTTTTTAAATGTTGCCAGAGTGTGGATCTAGAGCTAAGTATGCGAGATCGACTGCTGGGAATACCTGTAAAAACCTGGCGTGACCTGATCAGTGACCTGGATGAAGACGTGACTGAGAAGAAGCTAATTGGGCGAGGAGAGGGTGATGAAGACTCGATAGACGAGGGCTCGAGCATCGCAGAGGACAAGCCAGAGGTGGCGGCAGCAGCAGTTGCCAGCGAGGCAGAGGCTACACCAGACCCAACATCTGCCAATGTATCGCCATCGAACCCAGATGCTCCGGCATTACGAAATTCTATCCCTTGCGGGGATCCCTTACAGGTCAGAGCCTTTTTATGTTATTTTCCCCCGATACTCTAAGCGTAAAAGTTGTCTTAGACAAGGATTAAAATCCCGATAGTGCGAATTGTTTGTTCTCTAAATGCCAGTTTTCCTCGTGCAAGGAATATGTTAAAGAGGTAAAATAATGTATGTGATAGTTGGGACATACTTGCCGCCTCTCCTAATTCACAGCCCACCAGCCGCCATTGTGCAAGGGCCCTTTCGCCGAGCGCTGATTCGCTTGCTTTTCCGTTGCAGGTGCAGTGGGAAACGTCGCCCCTCCCGGACGCCCCCACGGCAGCGAGTAACGACTCCGGCTGGACGTGGTTTGGGGGGATTGTGGGACAAGGCGATGATGCTGTTCTTGCCATGAAAGAAGCTCTGCAAAAGTTGTTTAGTAAGTTGTTGAATTCACCTTTTGCTAGTTCTAATTTCCTTAAAAAGTTTGCCCATAAAATGGAATGATCACAGGACGTTTTGTTTCATCCGTTAGGATGTATTCTGGGAAACTAGAGAAAGACACCTGTGGATTTCTGCTTGTAAGATTCTCTTCCACTTTGCTGATCTGCCAACTAAGGAATATTTTTAAAAAAAAAATCTTCTACTTCTGTCCTTGTTCTTCTGAATATTTAGGGTTGTTTAGGAATCTCCTGTGGAGACATGTGTTCAAATAGACAATTGTGCAGCATTCCTGTCACAGTTGTCATCGAGCAGGGGGGCTCAGTATCGGAAAATGTGGGCTGTTCCAAACAATCTGGAAGACCTGTTCTTTTACGCCACAGATTCGGCTGATCACAATTTCCAAACTCTTGTATTTAACCCTTTTCTCTGCCTCCTTGGTTATGATGTTTATATCGCATGGCACAGCCACATGTACAAATAGACACTTTTTTCTCCAAATACTGGATAACAATATCCGGTTTGTTTCCTGCTATCATGCGATTAGTTTGAATTTGTTGGTTGTACAATATTGTGGAGAGTCCAACAGACATCACTGGTTATGGTGAGTGTTCGTACCACTTGCAGAATGTGTTTGGAACTTCAAGGGCGGTACAGATCTGCCAGTGGAGGTAACTACACATGCTGTCATGTCTTTTCAAGTATTTGGTCTTTGCTTGAATTGGACATGCTGAGACGATATGATTAGTGGTTTCTACTTATTCCTGGCAGATGTGCCAATAATCATCTTGGAAAATTTTGAGATCCGCTTTATCATAATTATCAGGTTTTTAAGGCCTTATCTTAGACATCTATTACAATTGCTTCCAATTCTTCTTTATTCTTCCCCTTTTTATGCCACTTAAATTATTGATTTATCATCTTCGGTCAGACTTAATGATCTGCCTCATTAGTGGGTCATTTTGATGACTGACTACAGCGTTGTTGTTGTTTGTGAATTGGCCATTTCTGACTTCGCTACACATTCTCTTCTGAGCCCAGTCATATTCTACCCTGGAGAGAGATTAACGTGTGTAATTATGGGGATCAGCTTTTCGGCTGTATCCCTTGGTAAGACAAGGTTGTTAAGCCTTGAATTATGAGGTGATAGGATGATGGTGAAAGGTGATCGAGGGCTTTTTGAACCATCCCGACATTGGCCTGTATGACTGAGTGATACCACGAAAACCCCGGTCAATATGGCCGGCCCATTATCTCGATGGCAGGTGAATGTAACTTTATCAGGGGATCGGTTTTTAGCTGAATCCGATTTTCATCCAGCAGGGGTGTTAGCCTTGGGGGTATAGAAGACGAAAAATTATGATGATACTGAGGGGTGTAAGTGTGTCACAGACATACACAGATACACCCATGCCCGAAGCGGGGCTCGGATCCGCGATCATTCGAATCCGAGACTGCTACTGCACTACTGCTTTAGAGAGCTCAGTCATCGGACGGCATTATTATTATTGTCGTTGTTGTTAATAGTTGTCGTGTGTTGTAGAACTGGTGGAGGAGCAGGCGCTGGAGATGTCGGACCTGGTGTCGGTGTCGCTGTACGTGCGCAACATGGCGCAGTACTCTGAGATGAACGGCGAGTACATGAAGGTGCTGGCGCACGCGAACCCGCCGGTGCGCGCGTGCGTGGAGGCGCCGCTGCCGGCGGAGACGCCGGTGCTGCTGGAGGCGCTGGCCTTCCGCCCGCGCCCGCGCCCGCCCTCGGCGCCGGGGGCGGACGGCGCGCCGCCGGGCCCCGCCAAGTTCACCATGCACGTGCAGTCGGTGTCGCACTGGGCGCCGGCCAACATCGGGCCCTACAGCCAGGCGGTGCGCGTCGGCGACATCATGTACGTGGCCGGGCAGATCCCGCTGGTGCCCGGCACCATGCAGCTGGTGTCGGGCGGCGCGCGCAAGCAGTGCCGCCTCGCGCTGCGCCACGTGGGGCGCATCGTGCGCGCCGTCGACGCCAACACGCAGCTGCGCGACGTCGTGCAGGTGGGGCTCGACGCCACACACACATGCACGCACACGCGCGCACACTCGGACTCTCACTCGCTCGGACTCTCACTCGCTCGCTCACTCACTCACTCACTCACTCGCTCATTACACTCACTCACTACACTCACTCACTACTCTCTCACTCACTAATTTCTTTTTAATGGCACAGCAAGTTTGCATAGTTTGTATGTAACTTACGTATGTCCCCTAAGCATTTCATGGGCATTTGTCATGTTATGATGTAAAATTTATATTTGCACTAATTTTTATTTTTTGCACCTAAACATGCACCTATTTCTAATATTTTTTGCACCTATTTTAGCACCTAAATTAGAAAATGTTTGCCCCTACAAATCTGGCCTCCACTAATGACATTTCATTAAAATCCTCCCCCTAGTGATTTATGATACAAGTGGTAAAAGTGACTTTTTATTGAGTGGTGAAATTTCTACAAACAAAATAAAAGCATGTTTACCGTGTGTGTCATTCATTATTTTTTAGACAGCCTTTCTGACTTTTTGTCCACTTTTCCTTTCAGTTGTTTTTGTTCACTTGGTGTTCTGTCCTTTATCCTTTTCGTCCTTTTGCCCTTTTTGTTCATTTTTCCTTTCCCTCCTTTCGTCTGACCTGACGGACAAAATGAGTAGAGTATTTTGCTTTTTTTGTTGCATTTACTGATTTACCAGATCACTTGAGCATCAACTTACTTTTAGCAAAAATTGAACTTTTAGTATGCTAGGCATACCCTGAAAGAGACGAGTCACTTTTAGAAGTGCATTCTAAAAAACAGTTTAAAATACTACAAATATAATAAAAAAAATAAAAAAAATATTCAATAGAAAGAGTTTAACACTGATCTTTTTTGAATTACTCGCTTACCTCAATCTCCGTTTCTACCCTTTAATTACACTGATTTGCAACCTACAAACAAACTTTATAGTTTTCAGCTCTCCTCTATAGGTAGTTAGGAAGCCTATATTTAATTTCCTTTCATCAAACACAATCTGTGCCTTGCTCAATATAGGTACTATGTCTGAACTGTAATTAGAATCATCATTCTGTGTGTTAGTACCAATTTTATTGCCATTCTATTTAATTCATGCTGACTTGGTATTTATTTTACTTTTAATTTATAAGTGAAATTGTGTATTAACTTATTCTATTTATTCTTTTGTTATGTTTGAGACTCCATCAAGCTGTTTAAAACTTTATAATATTTCAGTTACCTTTCTACATTTCAGTTACAGCTGCCACCACAAGATTCGTACTTCAGCGAGTTTAGTTTGATGTATATTTCGGCCTGTGGCAGCTGGAACTGTTTTGATTTAATTTGTTTTCAGTATGACTTGGTAGATGGTCATTCGATTGAGAAATGTTTGAGAAGTAATACCGTATTTCATAGTTAATGGATCTGTCAGTTGTGTGTGTTACATTTGCTTCTACTAATCAGTGAAATGGCTCTTTCCCCAGGGTATATGCTATGTCACTCATCCATCATATATCCCAGAGGCAAGGCGTGAATGGGAGAAGAGGACGAACAATGCCATTGTGGATTATGTTGTGGTTCCTCATCTGCCTAGGGGTGCGTTATTGGAGTGGCACATTTGGGCTCATCAGCACAACAACAGATTTGAATGTAAGTTGTATTTTTATTTTAATTTTTTTACTTTAAGAAAAGATACAACAGGCTAAGTAGACCAATATGAAACTGTTCATATGAGATGCTCCAGTATAAACATTGTATAACAAATACTAGGTAAAAGTCAAAATAGTAATGACAGTTTTAATATTAAGAAGCATAATACAAAATGAAATAAATTTAGTAATAATTATGTAAATGAAGTTTAATAGTTTGAGAAAATAAGTGTAGATTAAAATACAAATTTCCTCATGTTATATTATCATTTGCAAATCTACAGGGAATGACAGAAACATTCATAAATTGAGTTCTCCCAAAAATTTCGTGAATTAACTTAATATTTTTAACATTACATGAATTTGAATATTTAGTCAATACATTCCTCAATGCAGCACAATCAATCAACCCAGTAAGAAGATTATACATAAAGAGTGCATCATTTATCAATCTCGCAGATTCCAATTATAGTAGATTTAAGAATTTAGCAATTACTATGTAGTTATGACTATATCTGGGATATTCAAGATTAGCCTTACATGCTGCATATGAGAAAAATATGTGCTGAACCCTTTCAATCCTTTTAATTTGATAGTGCGAAGAGACCATACTGAAGAACAATTCTTGAATTTAGATTTAACTGAGAGCACTTTTTATAAAGTAAATTTGAATGTTTGTCTTTTAACGAATCCCAATTGTATCTCTCCTTTCTTTCTCCATTATATTGGTCAGTGTTGTCCAACAGGCAGCCTGCAGGTCATGTGAGGCCATGTTGCCCACATTAGATTATTATTCAAAAGAGGAAGTCTCTTGCATGCATGTCAAGTGAGAACATAGTGTGCTTGACGCATGCACCCTGTCAGGGTCAACAGCCCTTAATGTAAAGATTTCTTTCTTATAAATTCAGAAATTCAAAATCATCACAATGTGTTTCACTGTGTTATGTGTGGTACAGCCTGATATTACTCATGGCTTCATCTCCCCACACACACACACACACACACATACGCGCGCATGCACACACACACACACACACACACACACACACACACACACTCACACACACACACACACACACACACACACACACACACTTTCAGAGCAGCCAAATTGCCAACAATATGGGGAAGTTAGGGATGAGTCACCCGAGTAATGAAAATATGGCACTTATGATTTAGATACCACAGTAAAATTCCTTTAAATGTTTTGCTCTTATTCGATTTTCATGATTATACATTGTTGCTGATAAGTCCCAGTATATAAATACATATATGTGTTAAATTATTTTAGATATGCATTTCACATTTATTAGTTTTTCACCTTTTTTATTTGACATACTTGAGGAATTTTGGTTTTGCTGTAATTCAGTTCTATTTTTCTGTATTTATTAAATTGAGTAAATATGTGATGTAGTTATGTTTTATGTTATATGATGATCTAATCTTTATTTATTTGAGTATTCATTTACAAAAGAAAATTTTCATTTCTTAATATTTAATTCCATACCATTTAATTATTATATTATTTTTCCATCATATTTTAGTACTGAAGAGGTCTGCAACTATGACTGATAAAACATTAGTAACTTATTTATATATTTTGTTTCTCATGCTGAATTGAAATAAAATTAAAACATAAAAGTCCTACTCTTATAACGACTTTTAAAACTTTTTTTTAGATTATTTGTTATAAATAATTAAACAATCCACATAAAGATTACATAGTCTGTGTAATCTTCTTGTAATAAGTCACATAGACTATGTATAGAAAACATGGAGTGATAGATGTAAAATTATAGTCTAAAGCACAACTCTCATACTTTGCTTTCAATGTAATTCTATATTTTCTTTCAGATGAGGAAACAGGATGTTGCATTGGTGATTTTCGTGTATCAATTCGAAGGCGCTGGAACTATGAGAATAACGTATCTGCTGTTGTGTGCTATGTTTCAAGTGTTGGCACAGGTACGTACATTGCTATTACTTATTACACAAATGAGCAATAAATACTACAATGGTTATTGCCAGCAGGGTTCAAATTCCAGTCCTACACAGAATATTTGGCATGTCAACTGCAAACCATCGAATGTGATAAAAAGGATCATCATTTTGGGGTGATCAATTGTATATTAGCTAATATAATTGTATAATAGTATACAATTGTATAATAGCTAATGTGTTTCCATTTAGAGAGACAAAAATTAAAATTGTATTATACTGAATGCCTATCAGTGAGAATTGTAAACTATCAAAAGATCCATTTCAATAATATATGAGATCTGTTTTATAAGTTCTCATTCAGTTATTGTGGTTTGTGACAAAAATGTCATTTTCGTTATTTTAATTGAGGTAACATTTGGTTGATATTGCATTGCTAATGTTGAAAATCTACCACATTAGATATTTAATGGCTACGTACTTCATAATATTTAAAACATCTGTTATGTATTGAGGGTTGTAGATTCATCATCTAAAAGTTGTACGTTATTTATTCAGTTGAGACAATTCCCAGACACTAAACTATTAAACACGAAACTTCTGAGAATTATGCCTTTTGCAACCCACACTGTTCCACTGAAGAAAAAGAAAGAACTACAATAAGTTTATCAAAATCATCTCGAAGAAAGGAGATTCGTTATGATTTGTAGATGAGACATGGTCCCCTGAGCATCAGGGATTCTATCAGCAAATTCTAAAGAGAAAACTCTTCTGATTCAGAATTTGATAAGCAAAGTGATTGCACAATCATATTAAATCTTTTAAAACTTCTCCAGGAAGGATGGCTCAGAGCATCACTGCAGCATCTCTGACCAGGAGATCCTAGGTTCTAGTCATGGCAAGATTTTCGACTCTACCTAGATAGCTGGGTCGGGTTCAGTCATGCCTGGAGGAGAATTCTAGTGGCTAGCAGCTCTGATCAGTAGTTTTCTGTAGTTTTTCCAATCAACACCAGGTGAATCCCGGAGCAGTACCCTAACTAACGGTCCACGGTCCGTGCACAATCTTTTCTTGTCACTTATTCCTTCACACTTGCATGTATTACACTACTACACATCTCAGAATTGCTTGTCCTGGCTGGGGCAGTGCCCTGCTGATGGGAGATACCTGGTTGGGGAATATCCCGGTAGCCGATGGTTGGTCGGAGCAGGATCTTGCCATCTAGTGGAGGAAGATAACCTCTACCTCCTGCGATAAATCAAGCACTACACTTACAGGACTAAGTGAGGGATTCACCTGGTGTTGATTGGAAAAACTATCTTAGTAGTTCATGTGCCCGGAATTATCAATCAAGCAATCGGTTTCAAAAATTCCATTCCTTATTTCCATAGATTAATTTTGTTCTTTGTGTTGTGTCTCTATGCTCACTTAACATTGATGAGATTAAAGTTTACAAAACACATCTTTAGATTGTCAGTTCTTATTACTATAGTACGAATAAAATTAGAATGTACTTGACATTTGGGTGTGGAGAGGAGCAGCGTACCATGTGCTCTCAAAACTAACTAGGCATACAGAAGAAAGGAATGTTAAGAAACTTCTAACAAGTTTCTTCATAACATGTTTGCTCATAATATTTGTTCCCTAATTTTATGCGACAACAATGTGTAAAAGCCGATTCTCCTGATTTGCTGTTCCCTGGGTTACGGCACTGGCAACGTCATGATACCACGAAATGTCAACTACATTCTAATTTTTTTGTGATCGTAGTATCATTCAACATTAATGTGAGAATTTGCTCTTTTTTTTAACATGAATGGTAATTGTGAATTATGTGGTTATGATTACATTGGTATTTTGTGTTCATGCATTGATAATAATATGAAATAGTTTGTGTATATGTGGTTTAATGTAGTTTACAATTATTTCTCAAAAGAAGTGAAAAAATCATTGTAAACTGTATTATTGTAGAATGTTATATTGCATTGATGATTTTCTAGAAATAACTTAGCTCTGTCACATGTTTTAAGGATCACTGTTGACTGGACTGGAGAGCGGTGATGGGCAAACACGGTCCTCAAATGAGACAACACCCGCCCTCACTCCACAACCACCTGAAGAAATGTCGGATGAGCACCTGTCAGAAGTCATATGCTACACGCTTGCGAAACTGCTGCGGAAAGCAGATGCCGCCACTGTTTGTAATATCCGTTTCTTTTATAAAGTGGGTGTTGCACCGAACCCAGAGAGAATAAACTCTGTGTTGGCTCATGCTGAGGGCTTCAACATTGTGCACAGCATCATACCAGTATGCCAACTGCATAATGCGCACACCTTTCTATCAATATGTGGTGTACGACACAAGTGACTGATAATGTTACCATTTCATCTGATTACCTAGCCTCTCCAAACTCTTAATTTTCATTGGATCAAACTGTTACCGCAGAGCTGCTTTGATGCTGAGTGGTTTTACCTTTGACCGTAAGCTGAAACATCTGTCACTCACTGACTTCATTACGCTAGACTACTAATTCAGAAGGGACATTTACGTTTTGTCCCCGTTAATGTTTTAGCAGGGAGACCTTACGTTGGTGCTAGGTTGCCTTGACTCTTGATTTGTTTTGTTATTTAATGAGAAGGCCAAAGTTACTGTACATGTCTCTTAAGCCTGATAGTCAAGTCTCCTTGGTACTATTTTCATTCCAATGAATGCCACAATATCATACTAATCATCTATACCTGCACAAATATATTATATTGACACTGCTCCTGCAATCGTTCTGCTTAATTAAAACATTTTTTTAGTGTCTTATGTAATATTTTGTTAATATCATCTCAGATCAGATTTGGTGTAGATCTGGCGATGCCTACTAATCATTTAATCTTGCTTCATTAAGGTACATGTGAAGAAACTGGAGAATAGCTCTAGGTTTAGCAGCCACTCAGCACATTGAAATACTTATTAGTGAAATCAGAAGCCATATTGTTAAAGTGAATTCTTGCCAAGTAGTATGGGTTGTTTCTTTTTGCCACAATTTGTTATCACAAACCTTAATTCAACCTTTTTAGATATTTGTCAGAAGTGTAGGCTATGAAAAATGTTATCATTTTGAAGGAAAGAAAAGTAGTGTATACTTTCTGAAGGAATTGTTTGAAAGCAACTCTGCTGTAACTGAATTGACTATTAAGGTTTTCCCCCTCCCCTTCAATTGCACCACAACCTCTGCTGCTACCATTACCACTGTTGTTGACACTTACTGTCTGTGACTCATTAATGTGCACTGATTGTTATTCTTGCTGATCTGTTCAAATGTGGTTTATCGAGGCTCTTTATTCTCTGTAACTCCTTCCTTTGACCAGGATCATCAGAAGAAGCTGCAGAATTATTTTAGTTGATAGCTTCATTCAGGTATTTACTTGCGAGTGAAATCAGCATCCATTTTGTAGAGACTGAAGTAAGTATTGAATTTGAGAATGTTATTGAATTTACAGAATGTATGAGAAAATATAATGAATTTGCAATTAAGACCCTTCGGAATATCCAAGTTTTGAATTTAACAAAACTTTTTTTGCCAATTTGATATTCATTCAAATAACAAAATAATAAGAATAATTATGTCTATAACTGTAAATTGGAACATCGATGTTGCTTTTGTATTTCATGAGAATTATCCCTACCTGAGAAGCTGTTGCAGCTTCAATTTAGATTTTCTTGTCTAGTGCCCCGTGACAGCAAAACACTAAAACTGCTCTCCACAGAAGAAGATCTTTGTAATAGCAGCCTCTTCTGGTCCTCCTCAAAGTTTGCTTTAATATTCTGTCAAATCTAATCCTTTTGCTGTTATTGGCAGACATTTCTTGTGTGTATGATTATGCACACCAAGCAGAGCGTAGGGTTGGGTAGAATACTTTAAATTTAGTATTTAAATACTTTGCCAAAATACTTTGTAAATAAGTATTTAAATACATACCCAAAATATGTTACATTTTGATTAGTTGAATACATACGTATTTAAAATACTTCAAATACTCAAAATACACTAAAGATGATAAATTTTTATTATATCTTTTTTATTGCAACAATATATTGTAAATCTCAATTACAATAAATTAGTAATTTAGAGTCATACAAATTTTGTAACAATAATGAACTTTAATATACATATACGTACCCATTTTCGAATATAAAAAGATACAGAGAAGTATGTCCAACACAAATAAACAGAATTTCCTTTTAAAACGGGTAATTATTCAAACAAATCATCTGGCAATAAACTAGATGACAAAAGTATAAAACCTCCATAGGAATACAGTTGTTCAACTGGCTTGGATGAACATAATGTAGTGTAATAATAGTAGTATCTAAGTAATACAGTATTAATTTATTGTTGGATAGCTGTCCAACATTTTTAATAATTTAGATTTATAATTTAAAAATGAATAGAATTCAATTTACATCTGAAAAACACTTTTATTTTTGTTACAATAATGTGCATTCACTGGAGGAATCAAACAAACAAAAATTAAACTATTCCTGTTATCTTCTTTATCTGTATTTAATGTATTTTAAGATTTGTTTCTTTTAAATACACCTTTTTTATGTATTTAAATTCACCTCTTAAGTACATGTTCTAAAAACTCAAAAATTCAGTTTTTTAAAATACTAAATGTATTTAAAATACATATTTCAAGTGCAAGTACTTAAATACTGCCCAACCCTGTCTGTGAGCATGATCGGTTGCCAAAATTGCACGAGGCCTTGTTCACTCTGATAATATACAGCAGCAGATGGGTTATTACCTGACTTCTCCTTCGTCACAACAGAGCCTGCCACTTCCCAAATGTACTCTAGTTTTACTTCTGTCTTTCTCTTCTGCCAGTTCTGTTTCGAAGTTGCAGCAATGTTGCTGCTAATGGAAAGAATGGGTGTGTTGCGTGCTAGAAATACCAGGCACCATCTCTTAAACCAAACAACTTGTGCAATCTACCTATGGGATACACCAGCCAGAATTCACTTGAGCACAGATAACATAAAGAAAATTTACTGAGTAACATTATTTTCTTCTTCTTCCTCTTTCATTGACTTTTGAAAAGCCTTGTATAAGATGTGCTGATTCTGCAGTGCCAGGATCCCAAGTTTCTTATGTGGTGAATAGAAGTGAAATAATAATGTGGCATATAATTGCAAATGTTTGAAAAAGCAATTATTTCTTTGCAAATCTCAAAATCTCTTGTATTTTCTCTTAGGACTCTATATCAATTATTTAATTTCTCGTTTTGTCTATTAAATTGCCTTCTAAATTGGAACATGGAAAGAACATCTGACATCTCAAGAAATAAAATCTACCATTTTATATGAAATATAGTATTTGAAAAAGTTTCTAAGAGCAACTTTCCTTTGGCAAGAAGCAATTTTGTTCTTTAAACGCAATCCGAGAAACTGGCACAATTTTACAAAAAAGGAGGGACAACACTTATTATTATTGTTTATTTTTCATGATTCAGAACTTTGAACATGTAGACGAAGTAGTTGCACAAATGTCCTATTCACAATTTTAATGCAGTGAATTCTGCTTCAACTTTTGGTTAATTTGAATATGATTTTGCTGTGGTCTTTTGTTTTCTTATAATTTTGTTACATGTATTCTAGATGCTAAAAGTATTTGCTTCAGGGCCTGTTGATTAAGTTGTCTGATTTAGCAACTAGTGGAACTTCAATAATCCCCAAAAAAGTACTTACCTTTCCCTTCTTTTTTTTCTCCATCCTCAGTAAATGATAAATAAGAGCAATGAATAATATAACAGCTGTTATATTACTTAGATAAAGAAATAATTAGTAATATTTTTTGTCTTTTCTGATAATAAACCAAACTCAAGTGCATATGTAAAAATAAAAGATTCAGACTTTGTTGTAAATTTTTCATTCTTACATTTTGAAGATTTTAATTAGTAATTTACACATCTTCACCAAATTTATAAATGAACAGTGCTAAATGTATTGCAGAAACGAAACTGTTAGTTTAATAGCCATCAAAGTATTTATTTATTGCTAAGGTGCATCATCCTTGAAAAAAGATTTTTAAAATGTTTCATATTATTGATGATGTTAAAATGTGTACAAAATTAGCTATCCTTTTCTTTTCCGTGAATTTTAAATTGAATGTGAAACCATTAATCTTTAACAATGAAATGGTTTTAATTTGACTTTGTATATCTACAGGAAGATTGTGGTTCCAAATCAATTTCTCTCCAATCCAATGGCAAATCTCCACTACTTAACATTTAACACCAATATGTTGAATGAATATTTGTCTTATCTCTACACGCTGGTCTTCTTGTCTTTAACATGTTTGACTCATAATTTTTAACATGTTGAATGTTTTCCAGCAGGAATGGAAAATATTGTTCATAAATCGTTGTTTGGGTGTTGTCAGCTAAACTTCTGGCAAGATTGTAAGTTTACATGGCAAGAGCGGAACTTCCAATTGTGTATTTCCATGATCTAGATTTAATTAAAATGAAATGGGCAAAGGAAGAAATAATGAGCCTTTGGAGGCAATGATGGTGCGCTCAAAAGTACGGAACATTTTGTGATAAAGAGTTAAGGTAAAAAATGTTAAATGGAATTGCAAGGAAGTTGTTATGATTGGCCATTCCTGGGATGCAACCAAATAGAAAATAGCTCCAACACTATCATTATGTAGCCAGGATCTACAGAAAATACCAAAATAACACAGAGTTCATATAATTTAAATACCAAGTTCATGTGAATTCATCATTCTGTTTAACATAATCTCAAGCAACATGTTAAGAAGTATGGACTCTGCAAATAGTGTAAAATCCAATGTTTATGTTGTGAAACTCACCATGTTGATTTGTAACCTTCAACATGTTGATGTTTAATGTCAAGTGGTGGAAACTCGTCTCAAGGCTTGGAGGCAAATGGAAAAGAGCCAGCAAGATCTAGATGGGGCTTGACAGGGGTTGCTGCCAGGGGCAAATGCCACTTATTTAGGGAACTTGGGTGCTGCTTGAAAGTACAAAGAGATTTCTATAAGAAGGGATCGCTTTGACAGCAACTACTTCGCCACTGCTGACAATATAAATGCAAGTTACGTCCATGCACTCAATTTGTGCGTCCATTTACAGTTCATTTGTGAAAGACTTCATCACTATCTCGTGCAATGTCATCGCCGTACATGACGTTCATTTGCTTCCCGACCTGTCAAAGTGGTCCCGTCTTAGAGGAACTTATCTATACAGGGAGATTACGAGGGCTTTTAGGTGCACGTTTTCATGACATTGCCCATACTCTTAACCTTTTATTCCCAGAGAAATTCAACTTTCTCAAGGAAAAACGCAACTGGCACTGGTCATAACAGCATCTACCAATGGACCTAGGGAATGACCTGAGGAAATATGTGCAAATTTTAATACCATCATGGCACCTTTAAGCATTGTGTTATGTAGAAACTGTTTAATCTATTGTTTGAAAGTGCAGATATTACGTGAATAATCTGTACACTGGTGGTACTATAAATATAGGATCTGTGCATGTCTGGCAATTAGAAAAAGTTTGTGAAAGAGAACCCTGGTAATGTCTGGTGACCCAGAAACTCCCATTCTATACATATCTGTGATAAAAGGGCAGAAAAGAGAGGTAAGATTTCCCATGACAGCTTGTCAATAACATCTTGTTGGTAAAAAAAATTTTAAAAAAAAGCTGAATTTTGTTTAGAAGAGTGACATCCAAGCCCTTTTCACGTTGTTCATGGGTTCAATGATTTGTTCAGGAGTATTTGCAAAATAAAAATGTATATAAAGAAATCTAATGACACAATTTTTGGTCTAAGTGCTGCATAAAGCAAATCTTAATCAGTACCTCAAATGTTTATATGGTTGAAACATTTTAGAATTAATATGAATGAGAACTAATAAATATGCTATCAACTTTTGCTACTGATTTAAGAATAAAATGAACCGTTTATTTGCCAAGCAGTAAATAGTATGAATTGGACTAACAAATTCTGAATAGCTGTGTTTTTCAGTTTGTAATACACTTGAGCAAATGCTGCAGAAATTCTGCAGTCACATGCAAGATATTTCAGCTGAATTATGTCAACCTTCAAAGCACAATCTATGTAAATGAGAAACTAAAAACATTCCTTTAAGCTACCTTTTATACCTAGTCAGTTGAAGAGCATTGCTTTTCACCGATGTTAATAATCTGATCAGAATATGAGTGATTACTTTTTCGAAATTGCAGGTGATTGTGACAATTACATACAACTTTACATATGCCATGCTTGTTGTTCTTTTACTAATCGAGGAAGACTTGCTTTTACTTTTCTTTGCAAGTATTTTTGCAAACTATTCTGAATATTGACTGCTGTTGTTATAACAACACCATACTAACTGATATATGTTCACTCAAGTAGAATTTTTTTAAGAATATTCAAATTATAAGTCAACTGAACTATGAAGAGACTTTTCCTCATTATTTGGTATAAAGCATTTATATACCATCAAAATCACACAAATTCAGTTCAGGACCAAAAAAATTTATGGTAATAAAAATGTCAAGGGTCATGGATTATGCAAATGTATTCATCATCAGAATACCACTTGAATGTAAAAGTACCGAGTTTTATCCAGTCTTCTGATTAATTTGTAATAGCTCAAGAAAGTTAAAAATGAAGACATATCTTGCCTCAAGAAATTGAATTTCGAGTATGCTCATTTTGCTTTCTACATTGGGTAATATAGAAATTGGAAAATTATTTTCTGCCAAGAACAGGAAAAAGAAAACCTCAGGAATTCATTGTAATTGAAATGAAATTTATTTGCGGAAAATTTTGAATTTAAGAATAACTGTGAAATAAAGTTTTAATCAGTTTTTTGAGCAGATTACAACTAGTTAAGTTTGGCAAGTAGACAAACATTCTGAAATATCATGCATGTATTTAAAGTTTGTATAATGAGTGAAGCATGTAATAGGAATTCACTGTCAATAGACAAACGAAGGCATTAAAGGAAATGTTGAAATAGCATTTGGAACTTGTATTAAGCTTTTGCAGGTCCTGAAAAATCATATATTATCAATG